TATAATACTAATGATATTTACCTGTTGATATAATAATATTTATTATAATGCCTACTATATAATATTATAGGTAATATTAAAATTGGAATGTTATAGTATTATAACAATATTATTATTAATTTAAATATTAATAATCAATTAATATTTAATTGATTAATATATTAATATTTAAAATAGCAAAGTTTTATGTATTATTTGCTAGATTGGAGTATCTGTGAATTTTTCATATTCTATATAAAATTTTGCCTCACGTAATCGCTTGGATAACTTTATTTCCATTGTTACTGAAACACAGTTTGTCTGTAAATGAATAATTGAAATATTTTTATCGCGTAAATCCATCGATATGTTATACGATATGAATTAATTGTCTGTCACTCTCTCGTGGATGACTCTCTCATGAGCGTGAAATATGACACTGTAGAACTCATAAGCTGTAACAAAAAGTTTGAATTTGCCATCGTGAATTTCATGTCAAAATTTGTTCATTGCTTATTATTAAAATGGTATTTATCGTGGTGTTATTTACTATTAAAATGGTATGTAATGAATAAAATAGGACGTAATAAATAGATCACGTACCGCAGTAGATGTTTCCAAAGACACAGGGAAGAATCCAGCGGCGGATAAGTAACACGGTCGTATCGACTTCATCATCATTATATTCATATCTTTTCGTATCATTCTACCAGTCTTGGTCATCGGCAGCATTGTCCACCAGCCTGAATACGTTGCCAAGCTAATGTTCACACTTTCCTCTATTAAGCAATGGCAACTGTAGGTGAAGATAATTATATGGATAAAACTACCGACCATATGGAAAACGAAAATTAGTCGTGTCCCGATGGATACGTTTGCCTGTATACATAATATTAAATAATTCTATAATAATGTTACTATAACATATTACTATAATAATTAACTATATACTATAATATACTATATAATATTATTATAATAATTATTATTACTATAATAATATAATAATACCACATAACAATAATATATTATAATACTAGTATCATATTAAATAATTCTACGTATTATCATTGTCGCGGAAGGTTGTGTGTCACTATATAGTGACCAATAACGTGAAATATTTCTCAAAAAAATCTTATTAAAGTTGTTTGGGATAAAAAAATTTGATGTAAAATATTATGTCGTGTAACATATCTTTTGTCGAGTGATGGAAAAAATTTCAGGTTAAATTAATTTTTTAAACAAGGCTACATATTTTTTTCGTAGCACGATGCTATCCAACAATCTGCATAAAATTTTAGTAATTGTGTTATAAGTTAATGAGTTACTATAAAGTCGAATCTTAATCACTGACTGACAGCTAGATCTTTGCTTATCTTTCTTATAGTATCGATATAATTAATCTATGTAACACATTGGACACAAATTTGAAGAATAGAAGATGTACATAATGGAGTGTACAAAAAGACACAAATTGTAATGTTTGTGAGATAAAACCGGGTTTAACTAAATGTTCTACATTGTACAATATTGTAAAGGTTTAAAGTAATATTTGTTACGATCATAGAGTTTTAATCATCGAAGTATTAACAAGATTTTACTGTATCATATGACGTGTACGACACATTAATTGATTATGTGATTGAAAAATGACGATGCATTTTTTTAAACAAATATCGTGTTAAAATATGCTTATCGACAGAAGCTTGATCACTGTTAGTCTGTTGAAAAAATATCGTCGGTCATTGGTCCCTTCAAAACTCGAATGTCTCAAAGAATGAAGTAAGAATACGTTTAGTATAAATTATTTAGGATAACTCAGCATGAAAAGTCACATCCAAATATTATTTAAAAATGAAACTGTTCACACGTACCAGGAGTATCTCGTATGTGTCGAAGCACATTAATAAGCTAAAGACTACCATGTGGCCGAAGATTGGCAACGTATAAACGTACTCGAGTTTGTCGCAGAATTCGATCAATGACTGATGCTTCCTGATGCATTTTTTCAACGCTGTATAGCATCTGTCGGTGTAATCAGCCTTATTCGTTTGTTTATCGATAATCTTCCACAGATTTAACAACCTGTCCTGCAGCATGCGGAACTGGCAGATCACGTGCATGTTCAGTATGCATAAGAAGTTATCATTGCACAAATATGACACGCCGATTTGTTCCACAACTATCACCTGTGTGAATAATCAGTTCCCATAATGAAATCATGGTTGTGCCTGCTACGTTTATCAGCTTCTCACGCGAACATTAACTTGCTAATTACTAGTCACTAATCACTGTTACTACATATACTCGGAAATGGATAATGCCACGTTTTATGGATGTAAATGGAGATACACGATATACCTGAATGGCGAACATTATTTCGTAATATGGTGTCACACTTAGCGGCAGATTGACCCACATTTTGAACGGGAGTATTCTATCCGATTTGTTCTTTCCGATGTTCGCTGAAAGACAACGAAATATGAGTTCTGAATATACTGCCGGTTTTAAATAAAGTTTAAGACCATTTGCATTGATTTAAAAATTTATGAAAAAAGAAAAAAACATCAAAACATTTTAATAAGCATAAGGAGATGTCACGACACTG